GTAAATATGAAATTGAGCGGTTGGTAAGAAAATAGAATACTTTGGTGTTTCGGCCTATTCAGGAAATTTTAAATTTTTTAAATTTAATATAATAATTAGATATTAAATATAATATATATATATATATATATATATATATATATATTTAAAGAGTAAAAAATAAAAAAAATATTTTTATATAGATATTTTTTTACTTCATCTAAATCAATCCAAAGCAGACTTGAATTAGATCGAAGCTGCCTGAACATGACAGAAGTGGCAGCGTTTTGTTTCGCTTCGGTCTAGGCCTAAAATCGGAATACTTCGACTTGGGCTTAAAATCCGAATGCTTCAACCTCTTCGGCCAAAGCGAAACGAATTTGACAACATTGCTAATAATATTTTCTTTGATCATTGTGCAAAGAAATGCCACACTTCTATCTATCCAATTTCACATTGACAACTTGGAATGTTTCTCACATTTTGTGTATGAAAAGCAATGGTGTCGCTTTATTTTTACTAAGTTGAATGGATGGTCCAGATTGTTATGAGATACAGCCGAATTGTTATCTTGAGATGATAATAGGTGAGGGTTTTAAATTTTTTAAGGGATTTAATTTTGTTATTTATAATTAATAGTTGGGATTATTTTATTAAAAAATAGAAACAAATTGCTTTGGCATTGATCAATTTTCCTTTGAGATTATTTACGTCAAGATTGCTACCTTTCATATATGAGTATCATTAATACCCCAAGCCAAGTTGGTTGGATAGAGTATCGTTTCTTTTGCAAAATATTTGAGAAATTTTTGTTTGTGTCAATTATGGAAAAAAAATCATAAGATCATTTACCTCTAGTACAAAGATATGAGGTGCGATATAATCAATGTTCAAAGAAAATTCCTTGAAATTTGTGGTGCACCTTAGGTTGCGAAATGACATATATGGCAATTAATAGTGATTGTATTTTCATGGGAAAAGTCTTTTTTCACTTAATTGAGGTCGGTTAGACAAATTTTGATCCGTTATTTTTTTCTGATAAAGGTTATACCTTCATAAGGGTACAAGTCTATATATTTTTTCTCTTTATTTTCAACTATATCTTTTTGGGTGTACCTCTCGTTTTTTTTTAGCCTTCCACTTGAACTAACACGCATCTCCTAACCAGTACTGTATTGAGTTTGACTCAAGTATAGTCAACCCACCTAAATCTACTCTCTCTCTAATCTTATCGCTTATCTTATTGCCTATTAATACAACACCTAAATTTGTTTTGGCACCCAAAAATAAGTAGTCTCACTATATACCACCACCAAAAAAAACTATTTTTACCTAAAACGGTCTTATTTTATGCTTTTGAGGGGGTGGCACTTGAGCAAACATAGTGGACTAAAAAATAATTTAAAGATAATATGGTGGTAACCATGGTCATTTGTTTATTTTTGTCAATTTTGTGTTTTTGTGTCGATTCTAGTGGCAAACAATGTAAGCTGAACAAAATATCAGTGAAATTTTTCGGCGAAGTAAAAGCGCAGCAATCTCTCTCTCTAAATCAATATCGGAGAGAGATGCAGACGCTTCCCCTTAGTTCTTACTCTAACCCAAACCCTAACCCTAACCCTAATTTCCCATCTTTCTGCAATTTCAGGAAGGTGTCATTCCCCCCAAAGCTTGGTTGTTCTCCTTTTCATCCTCCCAAAACGGGTAATTTATTATCTCAGTTCTGAGTTGCTTTATTGGGTGGAACCGAACGTGGTTCTGTGAATTAATGGTTATATTGGCGTTTAATTCCTCAAATTCATCCCTTTTTGTTTGAATTAATTTTGTGTGTCGATGGATGTGGGCTTGGTCTTTCGTTCTTTCTCAAACTTAACTAGTTCGTGGGGACTTAGGGTTTTTTCGAGTTTTTTGAGCATTTTCCATTAAATTGAGCGGGCCTTTGTATAAGCCCTCTGTTACAAGTTTTCATTCTGAACTGTTTGATGGCATTGGTTTGGGGCCTTGGCTCAAATTGAAAGCGTTTTTTTTTTTTTGAAGTAATTGAATCTTATTACCTGTAAAAAATAATACCCATCTAATGTTGTATATTTGCGCATTTATTTTATGCAATTTTGGATTTTAACTCTGGTTTCCCCTTCTTCTTCTTTTTCTTTTTTTTCTCTTCAGGTTAATGACTGCATTATTGAAACGGACTTTGACTTCTAGTTTTTTGGATTGAGAGAATAAGCTTTGATTTTTAATCATTTTTCAGTGAATGTTACTCCATGGCATTTGTTTTAGCCTGCCGAATAGTTGTAAATTGTGTAAGAAATAATTGTTAACGAGTTTGAAATTGACATGAGTTTATTTTTAAGCATTTTATTTGCATTTTCTTGCTCAATTCGATCTTGTGACTAGATGCTCACCCAATCTCACTGTTCTGGCAAAATTCTACTAAAATTTGGAAGAAATTGGCCTCTCTCTGGTTTTTACTGAAATGCAGGCAGTTTTCCTGCCAGTTTTTTGGTTTTTTTGGTTTTCCAAATTTACCCAATTTGTTATGTATTATGAAGCTAGAAGGGGCCTTAGTCTCTGAAATTAAACAAAGTCATCTGTACATGTTTTCTTTTCTTTTGAAGTTTACATTTATGCATTATTTGATTGTATTTTTGTTTTCTACTGTTCTTATATACCTTGCGAACAGCTAAAGGCCTGTTTATGCATACCCCAATGAAAAAAATAAACTGCTTTTTCTTTTAATTCTGATGAAGATAAAACAAAAATTGTTGGGGTAGCAGAAGTAGATTGGCTTAAATTTTGTTTTTTTGGGTAAGTAGATTGGGTTAATTAATGTAATAGATTAAGGATCATTGTCTTAATGGATACTTTTTAGATCAAGTTTTTTTGCACGCCAGCGGGCTTATAACTACAGTAAAAGCCGAGCACCAAAACACGTAGCTAGAGGGACTTGTTTGTGCTGATTTTTTTGCAAATTTGAAAAATAAATAATTTCGAAGACAAACAAAATCATGTTTGAGTTTTTGTAAGCCTAGATCCACCATCCACCATCCACTGAATGGACGGAATGCATTCACCAAAAAAGCACTCACTTTCCCCCTTTGTGCAAATTAACTTTTTTTTTGGGAACGCGTAGATCAGATCTACATGTTTGTGGAATTTGCGGTTCTAGAAACCATACTTTTCAAAGTGGCTTATGCTAGTCAGTTTATATAATCTTTTTCCATAACTTTTCTTATTAACTAATCAACTTTTTTCATTTCTAAACATAGCAATATGCAGAGCCAGTCACGCTGTTGATTTGTTCCCATCCATATGCCCGGATGTAGTCGTTCGAGAAGCTCGGGTTGACGACTGTTGGGAAGTGGCTGAGACCCATTGCAATGCCTTCTTCCCTAGCTATTCTTTTCCGTTAGATTTGATGTTGAGGATTGATCGATTAATAGCATTGTTATCAGGGTTCTCAGCGCCAGTTGGTTGTATAAGGAAGTGTTTGGTTGCTGATATCGAGAATCCAATGGAAGGGAACCAATTGTTAGCAGCTTCAGATTATAATATTTCCGGCTTCGAAGGGAAATTTGGGTTCAACAGAGGCTCTGTTACTGGAATTTTAACAGTTGATACAGTGGGTGATTTCCTACCAAGAAAAGGACCCCAGAGAAGGTGAGTAGAGATTTAATCTGATTTATCAATTCTCATTAAGATGTTTTCACGTCAAGAAACTAATATATGATTTCTTTTTCTTCCTCCTATTTGCAATGATAATTCCATTAACAAAGGAAAGGGCTATAAATTAGATAGGAGCTCCTTTTTTCTTTTCTTTTTTCCTCTTTTGAGGGTATAGATTTGAGCTCTATTAGTTACAATATGAATGAATCCCTAGTTATGCTCGTGTTTTGCTGTGTCGGAATCTCTGGGTCATCAATAGTTCTGATCATTTAACCTAAAAACATTAAAAAATTTCTTCAATTTGTGAAAAAAGAATAGAGGGAATTGGTACATGTATTAATAAGAAGCAGTGTTTGAAAAACCAAACATGCCGATTGAACCGGTCTGCTCATCAATATTCTGGTTTTGTTTTGAATAGAAGAATTTTAAAAAATAAAAAGAACACTAAGAACCAGTGGGAACCGGGGTGTCTTAGAACTGAACCAGTACCCCGCCGGTTCTTAGACACTGATAAGAAGTGTCTAGTGTTTCCAATGGAATGAAGTTTTTATGCTATCTATATTTACACCCTTGTTCACAACACTGTGATAAATCCCTTACTAAAATCCTATGAGGTTGTTTGCCTTTCATTTCTAGGCCATCATAGAACATTGGGCTGATGGCCTGGTGATAAAATTGATAATACAAGCCCCTATTGGAAGCAATGTTGCAAGATTCGATTCAAAGGGCTCTTCCTTTTTGGCTGTGCTTTGGCTCTTCGGCCAGGAAAATGTTTTGACAGGGCTGCAGCCCTGTCAAAGTAAGTAAAGCCTTGCCCCAAAAATTGCCGAAAATTGCAGGTTGGCGTCAGAAAACCTTCAAATCCATCATCTCGGCCTTCACCATTATTGTTGTGAAAAAAAAAAAAAGAAGATTTCAAGCCTTAAAAATAATATATATTGCAATACATTATCTAGACTGTCTATTTTATCTTAAAAATAGGTGTTCACCAGATTTACTATATTTAGAGCTTCAAATTTCATAGGCGTTATTGGAAATTGATTTTAGAGCCATCATGGACCCAAACTGCTTTACATATGAGGATTTAAGGTGAGGCTTTACTTTGTTTTCATAAAGCCTAGGCCTTATAGAAACTGCATCCATTCAACAAAGCCTTCGAATGTATTCCTCCAACATAATATTGGGCCTTTTTCCTGTATTTTTGTATGCATAAGGTATATTTTGTAAACTTCTAAATATGATCTTATTTCACAAGCATTTTTTCAAATTATGAATATTGAAGACTGCTTTTGAAATAGCTAACAAATGCAAAAACCGCATACGTAATAGTTCAGTTGAGAAGTTAAAGCCAAAGACTTTGGCCAAAACAAAGCGAACCTGCACCGGTTTGAAGTCTTTGCATAAATTTCATCTTGAATGGATCTTTCATATGCAATCTTCAAGGTTTTTGTTTTGGAATTGAAAGTTAGCATTCCATGTATTGTTAGGAATTTTAGAGGTTCCCTTAAAAAATTTGGCTTTTACTTGGCAGATGTAACATTTGTTTCAGAGTGTCCAATGAATATCTCTTATAATTATGAAGTATGGGGAACATTGATCTTGTAGTTGGTTTTCTTAGAGCTAAAGTGCTATATGCTTCAGGGGGACCCATAGCAACATTTGCGTCCCCCAAGGCGTCACACATCCATCTTTGACATGGATGTAGTGTGGTGGTCCTTCCAAAAACCTAAACATCAATTGTCTAAAAATTTTTCTCCAAAGATTATCATTTTTAGTTATATTTCTTATTTTTTTTATTTTTATTTTTACATATTAATGATCTCTATGTTAGATATCCATCTCAAAAATGGTTCATGAATAAGCTGCATATTTACATATATGTCCTAGACTGATAAAAACCGTGTCCTTTCTTAGAATGCATAATTTTAGGGTTTTTTACTACGAATCCTCTGAAAGCTCCACCTCTCCTGAGACATAGAAAAAACTTATATCCCTCTCTGAACTCGTGTCCCATCCTTGTGGAACTCTTTGAAATATGCTTTTCTAAGAAAAAGAGAAAAGAAAAAGACAGCCACCAAATATTTAGAAATTGTTTTAAAATGGTGTGATTTACAGTATTTTGTCATTTTTAAATAATCTTTTACTAATTAAGTTCATTCTTCTCTGTTATATTCATCAAGTTTTTTTATTAAAGATACAATGTTATTATTGTTTTAGAATCCTCTGAAAGCTCCACCTCTCCTGAGACATAGAAAGAACTTATATCCCTCTCTGAACTCGTGTCCCATCCCCGTGGAACTCTTTGAAATACGCTTTTCTAAGAAAAAGAGAAGAAAATGACAGCCACCAAATATTTAGAAATTGTTTTAAAAAGGTGTGATTTAGAGTATTTTGTCATTTTTAAATAATCCTTTGCTAATTGAGTTCATTCTTTTCTGTTATATTCATCAACTTTTTTTATTAAAGATACAATGTTATTATTGTTTTGTGTATGCTTAATGATGAACTGAAATTCTTTTTTTTCCTGAATATATTTTTAATTGGGTGTGGTTTGTATTAAGGCTGAGGCCCTAAACAATCAAATTAAGGAGCAACGTTAGAAACAGATCCATGAACACTTAAACCTTGAAAATTGACGGTATGGATAATACATTACAAGATGCGTTATTTTTAATTCTTGAAATCTGAGATCTCATGTTCATATATCTTGAGGTCGATATGATCGAATTTGAGGGTTTTTCAACATTGAAATAGCATCTTCTAGTAAATGTTTGAGGTACGCCTTAATTTGATTGTTTAGGGCACACCCTTGTATAAACCTTTTCCTTTTTAATATATTTAACTGATTCCCCTTCCACCTGCACACAAATGTACTTATACGCACGTTTGTATTTTCTGTGTTTTTTGTCAACTTTTTGAACCAAAACCAAATTAATAGTGAATTTTTCGTTTAATGATATATTGCGATTACACCTATGGCTAATTAAGACCCCACCCCCGTGCTAAGTCTCTCTCATGTAACCATCAGGACTGGGATTGCATACATATCAAACGTTGCAGTGCAGCACACCCATCGTCGAAAGGGTATCGCCAAGAGGCTAGTTATTGAGGCCGAGGCCCAAGCCAGGAGCTGGGGATGTCGTGCCATCACTCTCCACTGTGAGACTAACAACCCTGCCGCCTTGGCCCTATACAAGGGCCAGGGCTTCAAGTGCATAAGGGTTCCAAATGGGGCTAAGTGGCCTGAACCCAAATCCACACCAGGCTCCCAGTTCCACTTCATGATGAAGCTTTTAAAGAAAACTGAGACCCAAAAATGCTTTTCTTGCCGAGTTTGAAATTCACAGGCTTACCTATCAACCATTTTTACAAACCAACCCTATCACCATGAGTAATACTCTTTTGAGTTAGCCCACCTGGTTGTTAGAGAAGATTCATGAGAAGTGTGGGGATGAAAGATAGGTTGGTGAGATGGTTTGCTATGAACCATTGCATTGTGTCAATATCAGAGATATGTACAAGGTGAAGTGTTACTTGTAACTGTATAGATCTTAATTGCTTCAGCATCTCAAAAGATAGTTGTTTGTGTTGACCATGACTAAGCTTGTTGTAAACAAATATGTGGATGAGAATTGAGCCTGTTGTGCACGTGGCCGTCTATGGTTACTTGCGCGCATTGAGATGCCGAGGACATGGTTTTGTTTCTAATACTTTAGAAATCAGAAACTTCTTTTTAGAGCGGATAAAGCCCCTTTTAAAGTGCCAGAAAAAAAAAAAGAAGACACTTTCTTTTTAGAGCGAGAACAAACTGTTCATTTGCTCCTTCAGGTGAAAAAAATAAAGCTAGAAAAGTTTTTCGGATCTGAAAAATTTGGGACCCATATAAACATCGGCCGATTGGATTTTGAAAACTTAGATCTTGCTGTCCAATAAGTCCAATTTGGGCCCTTCGGTTTTTGTTCAAGGGAGTAAATGGATAGCAAGTAAAATCATTTCGTTTCTCGTTAACCTTTATTATCAAAATCAAAACTTAATTTCCATCTAGATTCCACCCAAGTCAACATCCCAAAACTATCCCAAAATAATGTTTAATCCAGTGGTTTAAAAAATGGATCGGTGTCTTGGATCGGGCACTCCAAAAACCCATATAGATCGGTGAATCGACGATCCAGATCAGAAATTGATCGAATCGGTCGGATTGAGCTTTAAAAAAAATTCAAAAAAATTATTAAAATTCATTATAAATGTTGTCTTTTAGGAATCCAACAAGAAATGAGGGTACTACATTATTAACTTTTGTTTTTTCATCGGTTTGTGAATATTGAGATGTTCTTTTTCTGTATAAATTTATGTTAACCCTTATATTTACATCACATGAAAGAAAAACCATAGAATTATCATGGATAAAGTATATAAATATATATGGGCTACAATAAAGAGTAGACTAAATCGATAAAAAAATGGTCACTAAAATCTCGAATTGACAGAAAATTCTAATCCGTTAAAAAAACATAAATTATTACAACCTAACTAACTATAATCCAAAATTATTACAACCTAATTAACTATAATATTATATACTGCAATTAAAATTTTTGGTTTACATTTCATAATTATTTTATTATACAAATAATAACAAATCCAAAATATTTTATAATATTATCTAATTTAAAATGTATTATTGACAACTGTAAGAAAATTAGTACATTACATGATTTCTAATGTAAAAATTAATAAATAAAATAAAAAATTTGATTATCAACGTAGAAATTATTAAAATGCGTATCGATTTTTGAAATAACACTTTAATTTTTCAAAAATTTAATTTTTTAGGTTTCTAGAATAAATTTAGTAAAAGAGATTGTTAGTAGAAAGAGAAAGATTTCAAATAGAATAAATTTTTTATTTTTCATTTTCTGTACTCCTTTTATATTGTTTACAACAAAACTAATTTATCCCATGCAAGGAAGAAATTGCAACAAAATAAATACATAATACTTTTTTTTACACCTTTTATATTATTTACCACAAAAAAAATTTAAAGTGCATGGGACATCAAGGAAGAAATTACAACAGAATAAATACATAATACATAACGCGCAACGCCCAAAGGCAGGATGGAGGATTCGACTTTGAGAGGTCGAGGAAAAAATTGGACGTGATAACCATCAACGCCACCTCTCCAAATGTAATATCATATTTTCTATTACTACTACATATTCAAATTCGGTCTTCATTTAATGATGTTTGTGGAAATTATACCACATCATCAATGTAATAACATGTAAAGTACACACACAAAGCTGCAGAGGCAGCCACAATGTGTGATGTATACTATGTGTGATCATGATACCATGGGGGTGAGATTCTACCGTAGAACCGCGAAGATTGGTGATAAAATCTGTCTGTGTATTTTGATTTTGTTGGCATGTCGAACAGGGCAAATCCGGTTCGACTCGGTGACTTTTCAAACCCTGGTTTAATCTAATTAATTGTCTTCCTTATTTATTTATATATATATATAGATGTCAAACCGGGCGTGTTCAAGACAATGGACTACTTAATATATACAATTACACTACTTTCAGTATAAATTATTTCTTGATTTTGTTCATTTCTGACGGTCTATTGTCTTGTATTGGTGAGGATTCTATTTTTGGTTTTATCATCAACATAGAAATCCCACCAGCCTCTTAACTAGCCAGTAAATCCATTTATTATTGCTTTGGCAACCTCTTGGTCTGGATTGCCTGCCATTTTTTTTGCAGACGCAAACATTGTCATATGTCTCATGACATCTAATATTTTTAATTCAGATAAACCATCTATTGTCCAATTAATTATTGATCTTCCGAAATAGGAAACGGCTTGTTGTATGACATCTTCTTCAAGTTGTACATCAACAGGTGTAGGTCTCTTATAATATGGTAAAGCTGTGATTGGTTTCCTTGTTTTACCATAGGCTATTCTGCTTAAATCAATAGGTAAAGTATCCATAAAAGCAGATTATTGGTTTTGTATGGTATCTTCTATAACTGGTTCCTCTTCTTGGAGCATCATTGTTTCATGCTTTGGTATTTTTGTTTTTCCCCTATCAGAATATTCTGGGATAGTTGGTAAAGGGACAGGTATATTGGGTATTAGTATAGGAATACTGAGTTTAGGAGAAGGGATTCCTTTAATATCTAATTGGGCTAATTTGGATATTAACTGATCCATTAAGGTTTTATTATTTTCGCCGATATGGAATTTATTTTTATTGAGTTCTGGAGGTGGTTTAAACAAAACTGCTTTAGGAAGGGACAGAGTTATTCCCTTAGTTTGAGGAGTAACTAATCTTTCTATACGTTCTGCTTGTTTTCCTAAAGATTGCATATATAAATTAATATAATTATTTTGTTCCACTATATGAGGTATTAGTTCTTGTTTTTTACCTATTTCTTTTGGTAGGACTTTATACGGTGTTGCAATAATATCATATAGAGATTGTGGTTGTTCTCCTTTACTTAACGGGGTTATGGCACCTTTGAGTATTATACTTTTTTCAGGAGGGTGTGTACTCGCAGTAGTAGTACCATCCGTACTAAAGTATGTTTTTTCTTCTATGGTTTGAAAAGTATTAAATTGAGGAATGTTTATTTTATATTGAGTACATATTTCTTGTAACCATATAAAAAATCTTTTTGTTTCTCTTTCTTTTTTCAAAAATTTATTATATTTTTTATGGAATAATTCTACTAACCTAGGTTGGAAGGTTTGAAGATACCATTCCTGAATACCCTGATTTTCCGGAGCAAGGTAATCTTGTTTGATATAATTAATATCTATTTTTCTCTTTTTTCTTTCTAATTTAGCAGCTAAATATTTTTCTATATATGCATCATATGCATCATCACTATTTGTATCTTCTTCTACTTGTCATATATTATCTTCTACTTGTAATGTAAGTATTTGAAATTCAGCTATATCAGGTTCAAATGTATACGTGGGAATGACTACATGATCAGCTGTTCTTTTGACTCCTTGTAATTGGAAGTCTGAAGATGTTGTGGGTATTGAAAGAGAAGGAAGTATGATAACATCGGGAGTAGTATGACAAGATTTTTTAGCAGGGATTAATGATTTTTTATTTCTTTTTCTATTAATATCTATATCATCCTGTACTATAGGCTGTTGGAATTTTATTTCAATATTCCATCCTGATGTTCTATTATTTGATTTGGAATATTACTCACAGGTACTTCCTTGAGCTGGTTTGCATTTTGCAATACCCATGATTGAGGTAGAATAATATCGGACCAAGTAATGGTTTTTGGTATAATAGTATTTGATTTTTCTATATTAGTTTGAAATAGTATAGTTTGATCTTTTTTATCAGCTTGCATAATATTAGGACAGAGAATATTCATTACTTTACAATAAATTCTGTATACTATTGCTAAATTCTGAAAACCATGTATCATATTAAATCCATGAGTTTTCAAATTTATAGTTAATATATCTAATATATTTGGGTCTGTTAAAGAAACAGAAAAATTTGAAAAGCAATTAAAATATATGGGTCCACTACATAGGTTGGATTCTACCATGCCTAGGAGTGAATCTGAGAACTTATTGTGTCTTATATCTCTTAGGCATATAAGCACTGAAGTGTTTAACCCTAGACGGGTTAAAAGTTTAATGGCTATTTGGATTAATCCAATATGCAAATATTTATAATTATTTTCCTTATGTTATATATATATATATATATATATATATATATAGGGTAAAAGTCTTCCTAACTCCTATAGGCGAAAATAAATAGTGATTTCACCTATTCCAATCACTGTCCAAGTTTCATCGCGGGGTCACGATTGTCTGGTAGTGTTTTATTTTTCATTTTTTCTATAAATCGGAATGATCTGAAATTTGGAGGGTATATGCATCTTACTGAAGCGCATCTAATAAAAATATAAAAAAAGTTATCGAAAACAAAATTAACGAAAATACCCCCAAAAATTTTCAGGGGTATTTTGATTTATTTTTTCATATAAAATATTTTTTTTTATTTTTTGAAAATTCCCCTATTTTTGATATATACACGTTTCAAATTTCAGATCATTTCGATTTATAAAAAAAAAAGAACAGGAATGAAAATAGGCGAAATCACTGTTCATTTTCGCCTATAAGCATTACGTAGTGTTATATATATATACGAGTATAAGGAGGAAGTTTATATAAAGTTCGAAACAAAGTTGCTGTAATCCACATCCATTTCATTTGGACAAATGCTTTTAAGATATATCACTTTTTGATAATTTTTTAAAAAAAAATATCGAAAAGTTAGTTATTTCATCCAACTAAAATAGATGGTATAAAATATTATAACTTTAATTATACAAGATTGCAAACTTATATAAAGCGCACCCTGTATATAAATCATGTCTGAACTTTTCGCATCATTCGCTCAACGAATAGTGATTTTCTCGAGCTTCACGACTAACTCCATTTCTTTGGGATCAAAATAAGTTCCTATTGGATTTTTATTTTTATTTATTTATTTGTTGGGTGGGGGGGAGGGGGGGCGGTAAATCAATGGGCGGATCCCTGGTTTAAAAGCATGAATACACGTGTAAACGCCCATTAACGGGCAGGAAAGTCATGTTTGGTCCCTTCCACTATTCATAGGTACGGACCATTTAGCTCACCTGCTTGTTATGAAAATGACGAAAATACAACTCATCTTTGCTCATTTTAAAAGCATTTTAGAAGGGAAAAAGTTTATATCAGGGTGATGCCCTAAACAATCCAATTAAGGCGCAACTCAAAAATTCACTATAAGGGGTTAAAACCCTTCAATTTGATCATCTTGAACCTCAACATATATGGACATGAGAAAAAATAGATTTCAAGTCTTAGGTTTCATAGATATGTTCAATTTATACTATTTTTTTAATCTTTAAATTTTATAATTAAAGATGAAAATAAATTTTGAAGCCAGAATAAACTTTTTTTATACTTGAACAACATATTTCGGCACTATCTGAAGGTGTGCCGTAGATTGATTGTTTAGGGCCTCAACCTTAAAGGCAAAAACAAACTACAAATTTTCTTTCATTATTAACCTTATACTTTGATAGAAATACAACAGCATCCAAAGGGGATTCATGGGAAAATAAATGTGCAAACATGCATTCATGCATCCCTAGGAACACTGCATTCACACATGCACATACATACAAGTATCATATATGCCGAAGTATATACGTTTTCATGCTCTAAATTCATTTCTTCTCAAAATCTCAAAAAGCTAAAAACAATAAAACAACATTATTAGGAAGCATAAAACCATGGTTTTCCCCTAAAAAAGTCAATTCCAAATCTGTACGCTTTAATCCTCAATTAATGGTTTTCGAGATGATTGCTGGTTGCATTCTCATAATTTCGTTGGAGAAAAAGACCTCTAAATCACCTGAATATCCCGTTCTCTAATGTATATTTTTACATTAAAAGTCAACTGGTCTAACTAGAAATAGTTGAGAAAAAACTCAAATGATGATATGATGAATTATAACAACAAAAATTACAGGTTAGACATAATTTACTCCGTGCAAATAAACGAGAATTGTTTCATTATGATAGAATCATTCTTAACATGCTTTGTAGAGACGGATATGTTTACTCTTACAGCACATTAGAAGCCGCATGAAGAACTTCTCTGTCTAGCAATCACCTTGCGATCTGTAGATTTCCAAGATGAATGAGCGATCAAAGGTACCAAATGAGAGTATTAAGTTACTATGCATCATGTACAATGCAAGCATAGCATTGGGTACTCACACTCAACAACTACCATCAATATTTATTCCTTGACGGCGAAGATGAGTGCCTGTATAAAGGTAGGGGCAGACCCACCATCTCTGTGAGTATAGATGGTGAATGTTGGATCTAAGCAACCAATGCTGCACTCCTATCAAGGACTGTACGTTACTACATGCACCAAGGTGAATATATCTATATGCAGTATTATGCACTCAAATATGTGTACATGTGCACAAGCCTGTATATAAATCTGAGACGGCTTCTTACACAACCAAGAGATCCAATGGTTAATGTGTGCGTGAGTGTGCATAGGAGAGAGATATTTGAGGCATTAAAACCTTCATCCACTATATGAAGGTATTATATTCTGACATGACATGATAGATCCAATTCTCATGTGTGTTTGTGTGTGTGTGTGAGAGAGAGAGAGAGAGAGAGAGAGATCTGTGACGCCTTGAAAGGAGCAACAAAATTAAAAACAAATGGGAAACTTACAAGTATCATGGTTGGGTGAATTTTTCCAATGCTGAAATGTCCAAAGCCGGAAATTCTTTAACAGTGGACAGCACAAGAAGTCCAAGTTTCACAGCATCCTCATTGCTTGGTGCCTGGGCCGTAAAAACCGGTAAGTAAACATGAGCTTAAAATATAATAATTATAAAAAATAGATGAACCTATAGCAGTCCTTGACTCTAGGTTCAAGTATCAAGGACCAATCTCTATGTTCTCTAATTCATGATTAAAACGAAGTTTAAAGGATGGAAAATATAAGAGTATGGGGAAAGGATTAGAGGCGGAAAGAGCTCACTGCTTACCTCAATGTTGAGAGGCAGAACAGGGTCATGAAGGGATAATCTTAGGAGGAACCAACCACCATAGCCTGAAACCCTAACCTAACAAAGGCAGATCATACAGAACATGTCAGTTCAACAGAAAGAATGGAGCTTTAAAATCAAATCAACTGCTCAAGCCACAAAAGACCATCATCCAAACCAAAACTGTTAAACTATAATAATTTTCAAGATTAGAGTCATAACCCTGAATCCTCTCAGCCTCGAGGATTAGAAAACAAGAAGCCAAAATTTGATAAAAAAAATTGCAAAAAAATGGAGACTGAAAAGAATCAGTTCAAGAAAACTTACCCCCTCATAATTGACAGGAGCTTTTAGCAATTTCGGATCAGCATCTGACATTTTCTCCAACTGTTTCAGGACAGCCTCTCCATAGTCCTTGAAAGATCTAATGCAGCAAGTCATAAGATGATATTCACTCTTTTAAAAAGGCTTTATGTAAGAAATTTAAATAGTCATCTCAAATAGCAAACCCAATTCTATTGGGTTAACAACGAAACAAACATACCCTCCTTTGAGATCTGCATGGTTCTGATCAATCTTAAGCCTTAGCTCCACTGCAACAGCTGCTTCCTCCAAGCCATCAATAAGATCAGTAAGAACTTTACTGCCTCCATTTGCTCCTCCTGATACCCTAGTTGAAGCAAGTTTGTTTAAAAGCTTAACCTGTAATGAGGACATTGAATTTTTTTTTTTTCTTTTAATAAGGGGGATATTGAAGAAATTTGTAAAGGTATTCAGTTTCTTCTGAGTGGAAGAGAGCCTTCAAAGACATCAAGTATTCACTGTTGACATTTACCATGAGAAATGCTCCATCATCAAGCCAATTATTCTCCTTGAGAGCTCCATGACCGCTGGTTTCAATGGCTAAATGTGATTCCTCTCCCACAGAATTCTGAAATTTGTTGTTTCAGATAATTAGGTTCAAGGAGAGATCTATGGATTAGATTAACATGCAACTTTTATAAAATCCCAATAGGCCAAGTCATTGAAAAGCCACACTTCTGTTGTGTGGAATGCAACAACCTAAAAGGCTAGATATTGACTTCCGAGAGAGATTGAAACAAGAATTTCATGTGAAGAAGACAGCAAGTAATCTACAAAAAATTTGGGAACCAACAAAGACTTTATGCTGCATGTATTAGAAGATGCCAGAAGTTACACTCACCAAACGAATGGCCTCATCAATAATATTCTTGTATCCTCTTTTAAACCGATGATGCTTTCCTCCTTCAAAAAGAAAAAAGAAAATAAGCACAGACCCTGAAAGGAAGACAAATAAATTGGACACTTGAAATTCCACGCTCACCAAGTTTCTTCTCAATGAATGTAGTCAGACCATCTGAAGTCACGCTATCAGTAACAATTGTTGTACCTGGATGCTATTTACCAAGATGAAAAAAAAGAAATAGAAAAAATATATAGCTTATTGTGAGATATATGCAATTTATTTATAGAAAAGCACTCTTGTAAAGTTGAGCAAAGGAAGTTTACCTCTTCCAGAACAAGAGCAGACATCAAAGCAATCAATCTGTTGCGGTTAAACTCGCGACCACTTGAATCTACGGCAGCAGATCTACAGGAAAACCAACCTTCAGAAATGGCACAACATGCACCATACAAGAGTGGGACTGTGACTAGCATGACAACCTGTCAACATCGGTATCAAATATGATGCCTAAATCAGCCTTGTTTGCAAGCGCAGCTGTGGTTATAGCTTTCATCGCTGCTTTGTCTTCTGGATTAGGGATATGATTTGGAAACATGCCTGAATGGGAGAAGAAGCTTAAGGTCAGTATCTAAACTAGCACAAACTGCAAATAAAAGCGCACCACAGCAGTTAATACAATTAATAACACCAGACAAATTATATTCTCAGATTGAGAAAAATCAACTAAGAAAAAGAGGAGCTCCAATAAAGAACAAGTTCATCAAATTCCACAATCACAAAGATAAGATTTCTAATTAGCATTAAATAGCTAATTACTGCTAATTAGAGATCTAATCTACTTTTCTGTCCAACTGGACCCACATTCTCAACCACAGGCGTGTTAGGGCGCCAAGGTCAAGTCTCTAGAAACCACCGGAGGCTGGTGCCATCAAACTCAACTTTGACCGCTCTTTGTTAGGTAACCCTGGCCCAGCAGGAGTTGGGGGACTGTTTTGGGACCACTATGGATCTACCCTCCTCTCTCTCCATAGGAGTAGCCGACTCCACTGAGGCGGAGGTCACAGCCCTTCTAGAAGGCCTGCAACGCTTTGACAGGGTGGAAGGGGACTCGCAAAATATCATCTCTTGGGCTTCTGGAGAAGCCCAACCCCCGAAGGCATATTTTTTATGCTATCTATGATCTTTGCAGGGATACGCAGATCTTCTGGACTCACATCTGGCGGGAGGCCAACCAGGTCGCTGACTGCCTAGCAAAACAGGGAGCAGCCTCCGCTCTTCTTCCAGCCTAATATTGCGTTACTTGCCTTCCCGAGGGCCACGCTTCTTCATTTCTTTTTTGCCTTTAGTTGCCTACTGTATATTCGGGGCTGCGACCCCTGTTTTTTACTTTGTTTACGTTTTCTCTGGTCACTCCTCTAGGTGACTTCTTGCTTTGTACTTCTTTAACCATCAATACAATGCTAATAGTATCAATACAAAAAAGATCTCTAATTAGCAGGTTCAATGAGCTGATGGAAATATCGTTTATAAAAGCTAATGCATTGGGAGTAATAAAATGACATTGGCATCTTAAGTAATATTAAGTATCACAGCATATTGAAGATATCATCAGATATTTAAAGAAGTATGTGATGGAGATTACTGCCCATAATTTGAGCACATAGTAGGACATAGTAGGCAGTAAATACATACATGAAGATTTCCTATTCTTGGTGAGTGCATATCAACCACAATGAATCCAAAGCCACAACTAATCATGATCGCTCTGAGTGGACCAGTGTACGAAAAATCGAGAGGTTCAAATTCTAACCGCCTGGTTAGACTCAGTTAGATCAGAATCGGCCACTGGCTGCTTCCTATTTTGACCGGTTTGGTTATCTGGCCAGGTATTTTTAAAAAAATAAAAAAATTATATAAAATCCTAAAAAATAAGGGATTTTGTTTATAATGCATTTTTTAATGTTTTTCATCATTTTTACAAAGATTGAGAATTCTTTTGGCCATCAATACTTTTTTTAAATTTTCCCATATTTTCAAAAAAATTCAAAAATACCCTTGAGCACAAATCGATTCTTTAAAATCTATTTTTTCATTAATTTTCAACTTCATTTGGATGTGCTTTGTTTAATAATGCTTTAAAGATACTTTGCAGATTTTATTAGATTTTGTTTTCATTTTTTTTTTTTTAACACTTCTTTGACAGCCCGGGACTTGACCGGTTGGGCCGGTTGAACCGGCCGGTTTACCGGTTAGGCCGGTTGAACCACTTCCGGCATCATATGCGGTTAACCGTTCCGGGATGATTTTTCCTACATTGGAGTGAATTAAAGGCAAACTCCAACATGTATTGCAATCAATGGACCAAATTTACTAGTGGATGGTAGGTCCAAAGAAATAAAAAACCATAAAAAATATTATGAAAATTACCATCTGGGTCCAAGAACTGACTTCCAGAAGTAATAGCCCCTAAAGGTTCAAGCACGCTTCCCTGAAACATACAAGAACAATGAAGCCTTCAGAGTATAATAAAGTTGCAACTAAAAAGTGAAACGCATAACATTCTTGCAGTTAAGTACCTAATTTCAGAACAGCATATATGGAAATTATCAATAAGCCAACACAGCACAAAGGCAACCTTATAGGAATCTTCACACAGCAACGAATATAGTGCATTCATGCTTCTGCATTTGTATGAACAGTGTATACTTTCTTACTTGTACACATATTACCAATGATGAGATCACGTCAAGTGACTACTCCCCAAGTGGGATGAAGCTCCATAATAGGGTCATGCATATGGACCCACTTAATAAGTTTGTAAATGAGTTTGTAGTGATCCTAATGAGAATTATGCCTAACTATTTATAGAATAATCTAGGATAAGATTACCTCATCCTTGTCCAGTGTTAAGGAAAGATCCTTTTTAATCCAATCATTGGTTAGAAAAAGTTTAGACCATACTCAACTACAAACAGTATGGTAACAGGCACCCACCTTTTCTCCTTCTACATAAGAAATGCATTGTTTTACTTTGCATAATTATCTTAACTCAAGAGAAACATACAAAACATCTCAAAATCCACCATTTTGAGAACTCTAGTTACAAATTCCAAGCTGACTTACTTACAGCAAAAAATCCTCCCGCTCCATTTCCTGCATCCACGACAACATGGAACCCCTCCAATGGCTTCTCTGAAATGAAAACGGGTTTGCTGAGTAGATGAACAGCACACTTTATGCAAATATTTAAATTCAATTGCATTTCATATAGTTGCATGCAAAAAATACACAGAAAAGAAAAGTGAGACCACTCTACTCTTGATTTCCTTAAATATCTCGAACACTCTGGACAAGGACCACTGCTTTTTCAGCCAACAATAAGAACAAGCCCAAGTTACAAACTCAAACAAGTATTTTATCTTCTAACTTGAAGTCATACAATCCCAACGAAACTGACGATAGAGAATCGTACACGTAGTTGTACATTCATTGCAAGTACCTATATTTCCTGCTGCCTTGCGAACTGCTTTTACGAGATCCGATGTGTAAACCTTCATGTAGTCCACCTTTTTCACAGCTGCATAAGCCACCTGTCTTGATTCCTTCAATTTCTCTTCAGAAAAACCATCATATATATTTGCAGCACGTTCTAGGATATCCTTAATGTCATTTTTTCCTAGTCCTTCAGCACTTGTGAAAAATTTGAACCCATTACGATTGTAAGGAAGATGACTTGCTGTTGACAACAACAAACTAACGTCAAAGCTTCTCAGATAAAAGGAATTGGATACTCAAATATTTTCATGAGTGAACTACATGGTGACATTTCTGTCAATGCCATAATCAAGAGTAAACACATGCGTAAAGAGAACAGCTGCCAATTATCCAACATAAGATTCTCTTGTTTTCAATGGACCCCAATGTGAGATCGCCAGAACTCTTTTCTCATCTGATCAGGCAACAAAGTTATGAAATCCATATTCCAGTATACCTGTAATCATTATAGAGCCATCCACTGGACACATAAAGTTCGCATCTTCTGTAAGCGTGCTTTTGAACATGGCTGGTGTAGATGCCAATCTACAAAACAAAAGGCAATGATCAGTATATTTTATCATTTGCGGTCCATCAGTATCTTTTCAAATAAATCCCAAACTGAAGTACATCCACCATAATAGCAAGGGTTTGAAGCAGCAAATCATAATTACATGCAACTCACCCATATTGAATAACATCAAGGCCAGCACCAGCAATTCCTCGGGATACAGCATCCTGAAAATTCCAACACTTTCATCAACATACACCTACAAATATAGCCTATTCAGTAATGATGAGACCAGATACCATTTTTCCATGTTGTGATACATAAATAAAAAGTTTGGATTCCTGAATCGAGAACAATTAATTCACAGGTCCACAATAGAGGAACTCCTTATGATTAGTGCAATTTAGAATAGAAGTGATCCCACTGCACTACAGGAAAGGAGTTTTCCAAGTAATTTAGGACATAAATTTCTTTCCAGCTCAACATAATACAAAATGTAAACAGGGAAGCTTCACTTTTTAATTTCTACAGGAAATAAAAAATGCACCAGCCACTCCAAGGCTTCAAGCACATGCAAAGGGATAGAAACAAATTCAACACTAATAGTATTAAATGAATACATCAACAAGAGAGTAGGTTGTAGGGACAAATATAAGACAAGAATCGTATAAGATACATATGAAATCGAGGGCAATTTCAAAAAATAAAATGATTTTAATTATACGGATTATCATTAACATCACAGCTTATGTCAATCAATCACTTGCCAAGCAACATACCTGTAACATTTGGGCAGATATACGTGAATCGTGCCCCACAGAAACACGTAGTTTTTTTGTTCCCTCTGCTTTCTTTTTGTCTGACAACCAAGCAGCAAAGGCAGCAGCTATAGCTTCTGCCACTGCCTCAGTGAGATTGACAAGCTCCCCCTCAACACCACCAACAGCGACACCACGAATATCACTTGATTGATCAAATAGAATGCCAAATATCTATTGTTAGCATACTGTCCAAAGCAACTACCCCAAATGCATAACAATTGTCATCAAGAAGACATCCACAAGCATAGCTAGCAAACCAGCAAGCTTCCCAACACACTAAATCTGGGCAAATCCATATACAAGTAATAAGCTAATAATCTTCTTTTGAAAATATTACATGAACTATTTTATCTCATTAATGGATTTGTGTAAGGGGTAGCATTTATAACATGGATTATTTTATATCAACAATTATACAATTCTTTCGGAAAATGCACTATCCAATATAAGCAACCAGCATGATCAGCAAGAAACATGTTCTAACTATTATAACGAGTCCTTTACCATGCAGTGGAAAAGTTAAAAGTACAATACGCCCAAGTACAGGAAAATGATATGTTCATGCGGAAGAAGAGATATCATAAAGTATTTAGCTATGAAAATGAGCATAAAGTCCTCACCTGCCATTTTGGAGCTTACGGAAGTCAATCTTTTCCAAGAAAGAGGGGGCACTAGTTGATGCAGCAGCTGAAGAACATTCAGGCCTCAATTAGAGCATTAAGATATACAAGTTATTTTGTTTTTTGGTTGAATTGATATATGAGGATCAATATCTATTAAACTTCAAATTCATGAAAGATTTGATATCAAAATACAGCACTCAGAATTCTTCAACCAGCATGTTCACTGAGTTTGAAAGAAAATAATAACAACAATGAAAACAGGAATAGTGAATCAGGTATATGCAAGTGTTAGAAAGGATGAGTTAAAAAATCAGAAGACCAAATTAGAGACAACCCAAATTCCAAGAGTCTAGAACAAACCATTGCAATAGACACTTGCTCGATTTTCAGTACTAATTTGGTACATGGAAAAGACAGTCCATTGTGTGGCTGGTCTGCCAGCCCATGCCAACTTGCTGTCCTGCAACGGCAACAAGTTTAGCTTAGTAGGGGCAAAACACTCCCTGGTGTTCTGAGCGTCCATTTGCCTAATCCTTTGGCAAGAACCTCCTGAAAATACATTTTGTAAAGTCTTCCATGATATTGCTGCATCAAAATGTCCACATGTATTAGCTTCTATATGGCCCAAACTTAGTTAGAAGTACGCATGAGTTTGTGATTAATGTTAGTGAGGTGATCCCCTATAATTTTAAATTTCTTCCACAAGAAGATTTATGACATAGAACCAATTTGATAGAAGTTAACAGAGATATGCAACAATGTGATCATTGTTAGGTCCTATTATCTAAATCGCTCGATTGATATTGCAAATGCACAATACAGCAATCAACATAAATATCATCACTCTGACAAAATCAGAAGATCCATTTGAAGAGATCCCAGACACACAGATTTTGAGTAGATAACTTATTCAATGAACCAGCAGTTTACATAAGTTTTACAGCATAAACAACAGTTCCTGTTATCTTTTCAAAGTTTTTGTGTGAAATGACAAGCTAGAATTCGAACCCAAAACTAGTGGTTGTCATGAACTGTCCCACACCTTTATCTGAAGTGCAGGTTCTATTCATAAAACAAGAAAACAAAATTGTGTTTCTTTCTCTATGGAGAACCTTAGCAGATTCTTGGGTGTCTAAAACATTATACTCTCTAGTTACTGAGTAGTAACCATCATATCATTGTTATAAAGATTGGACCAGATATCTTGACTGGTTTGGACCCGAACTGGACCATCTTTCTATCCAAGTGATGTGCCCAAGCAAACAGTCTTAACTTGTTGCATTGGCCATGAGAGGTTCTTTATTGGGACAATTCTGTAAAACCCTAACATCAAAAACTCTACAAATAGTCCCCAGCCCCCACCCCTCCCCCCAAAAAAAAAAACACGAAAAAAATCCAAAGCAAGAGAAAATATATGGTAATTTCAGACAAAAATCCCCTTATAATGAAGTAATCAACGAAATAATAAAACGCATGCGCCTATTTGTTTTCATTCACTTTCTCATCCCTTCACCTTCTCTGTCAAGCTCCTTCTCCGTTTCTTCTCTCTGCGCACTCATAACCCATCTTCCCTCCATGCACCCATCTTCTCTCACCCAACCCTACTCCTTCCCTCTCTCTAATCCCTTCTCTTTCCCACCACCTTCATTCCTAGTTAATTCTCCGAAACACTCCTCACCACCATTAACTAGCTATTCTCTCTCTCTCTCTCTCTCTCTCTCTCTCNTCTCCTCTCTCTCTCTCTCTCCT